CAGCAGGACTCTGTGCATGTGTTCTAAATATTGATCTCTTCATGAGAATTACTAGTTTTAGTTACTTGTTAAATCTCTGCTTATGGCATCACAAATCATTTTCATGCCCATTCTTTGTAACTACACTTAATATTGTCCTTCCAGGGAACATGACAAAGCAGGTACTAAGTATGCACATAATTCCTCCTGTAATCAGCATCTATAAAAGTGAACATAAAAAACTTACGATAAACAGTTAATGTGTTTTTTAAACCATTTAAAACTTGATTTTCTTGCTTTTCTCCACTTAAAATTGTCTTGAGTGTATTCAAGTGAAATGCATAACAATATTTTAACATCACTTAGAAAACCCCCCAAGAATATTACCTACATGCACGGTTTCTATGTTTCTTCCACTTAAGAAAATTGCAGTGATAGAAAAAGAATAACTATGCTTGCTAACACAAACATAGCTTTCCATGAGAACGCATCAGGCCAGCTGAATTCTCTACCTAGCCCTAATTTGTAGAGAGTCCTACCTGTTTTTTCTTTTTTGTTTCCTTCTTTATCTTCGTCTATTACAGGAATCGCAGGTTTCTCCACCTTTACTGCATCTTCTTGGCTCAACAAAGATTCTAAAGAGGATTTCATAAGAAAGGCAAGTCAGGCAGTAGGGAGTTCAGAAATGGGGCTGAATAAAATGTTTTTTTACAGACTACAGTGGTGATCATTAAAAACATTAGCACAGAATCAGGCTGTGGAGTCCTCATTCACATTGGTTAGTAGCCACTTAGGCAAGCAGGCCCACTGCTGTCAAGGCACTACAAACGGCATGAATTGCAATTACGGTGCTGAGCAGTCTGGCCCTGATCCAGAAAAGTACTGTCAGTTACTAAACTAACAGTGCAACACTTCATTGGGACTGCTCAGAGGCTTGAAGTTAAGTGTGTACCAAGTTACTTGCTGGATCAGATTCAAAGTACTCAAAGTAGTCAGACCCTTGAAAGATCAAGACTGAGTGCTCACCATCAAGGTGAAGGCATGTACAATCCATCCCCCACATTTTCTACTTTTACAGTAGTCAGCATTTATCTCTTCCAGCTGAGATATCACAGCTATTTCCAGTTCTGGGTTAAATTCAGATCTACTGTAAGGAAATGCAGCTCCATGAATTTGGTCCTTTTTATAAAGAGAAATGACTGGTACATCAGATACCACTGTGGGTCTCATGCCAATAATACTTGAATCATGAACTGCATTTTTATCTTCCTCGTTGTTCTCAGAGCATTGCTTATACCTTCTAGTTCCATGCAGGAGCTTTGGGAATCAGCATCAGTTTTCATCTCATCCTTTGACGAATCATCCTGTTGCTCTGTTAATATCAAAGATTGAATATCATGTCAATTGGATTGCTATGTGCATATAAAAGAGATGTTCTTCAAGTATGGTACAAAACCAGCAGGCCATTTATTATTTTAGGGCTGGACTGATGAGATGTTTAGAGCAGTGTAAATTACACTGATTTTGTACACCATTATAAAAAACAGTGGACCGGAAGAGCAAAGTTGTCTTGGGGCAACTGTGTGCAGTAGTAGGTGGTTATCACAATGCCTTGTTACGAGGTAGGGAAGCAGGTGAAATTAATGATTAGCTTTGAGCCAACATCTACCCAAGAATAAATTATACAGAGACAACACCTGCAGAGGTTTATCAGGGATTTATCAGAGGTACATTAGAGAATCTTTCAGGGTAACTCTAAACTGGATTGGGTGAAATTATCCCAGTGTACGAATTAGGTCACCTACCCTCTCCTTTTTTAAATTTTTGTAAAGCTCATTACACTGGTAGAAACATTTTGTCTACCTGGGTCCTGAAGCCAGATATAATTTTATTAAAGCAAAATTAGTAATTAGTAATGTAGGGGTTACTTTCTAAAGCAGTGGTTCTCAACCTTTTTGAACTCCAGGCACCCCTATATAACTTTTTTTAAATTACTGGCATGCCATTTCAAGAACAAGTTGCAATCGCTTTTTGACTACAAAACAAATAACAGAGCAACTCTTCTTTTAGAAAGAACTCAGAAAGACCACAATAGGTCAGAATGGTTTTGATACTCTGGATTCCTATTTGAAATCTCTGGGTTGAACTTGTGATCAAGTTCATCAAATGTAGGTGTTTATACAGTTAACAATGATAATATTGTGCAGCCCTTCCCTCCCCTCATGGTATCCTTAAAAGTATCTCAAAGCACCCCAATGCTCTAAGGGTTTTAAAACCATGGATTAAAAAAGTATTAAAGGCCTCCCTGGCAAGCATTTTGAAGAGGCGGGCAAAACATATCAAACCTGGATTACAGGGTAGGGATGGGATAAGGGGTGGGGGGAGCTGTGTGTGTGCATGTGCATGTGCATGTGCCTGGATGTCCTGATTTTGGGGGCCCAGCTGGGATGAATTGCTCACTTTTTCAAGAAGTGAAGGTTTCTCTGTTAAAGGTTCTTGGCAGTTACAAGAGTACAGACTAGCAGCTGTTCTAAATCACCTGTGCTTGGCATCCATGTTATATAAAAAATGAAACTGCTGTTGCAGGCTTGTGGTAACAAAAGCATAATGCTACGCAGTGGCCCAGGATCAGTATGGCTAAAATAAGTTACTTGGAAGCCAGTTTCTTCTTTACGCACTCTAGAGAGTAGGGTACCAAGACTGACTAGCAAATATGGGCGTGTCTACATGAGATGCTTTACTGTGCATTAGACTAATTAATGCTCAGTAAAGTGTCACCATCTACACATGAACAGGACTTACTGTGCAGTAAATTAAGCTAATGTGTGGTTTGCTAGTACCAAGAAATACAGGTATTAGATTAACTGTGCATTAGCTACTGCACACACAGTAGAGCAGGTGTAGATTCTAATTGGGAGCAATTTACTCCTACGGGACAGCCTAGGCAGGGCCATAGTGGGCAGGAGCTATCCACGGCTCTAGTGTGGAGCTCGGGATTGCAGCCCAGCTGACTTGGGGCAATGCTCTGTGGCTGAGCGGCAGCAGCACCCTGAACTCTCCCATCACTTTGCTTTCTAAGGGGCTAGGTGACTCTCTGTCCCCAGTCCCAGTGCTACTCAGCTCCCCCGATGAGCCAGGAGATGAGCACCACTGGGACAGGGGAGCTGTCTTTTCCCACAGCACCAGGTTGGGGACAGAATGCTTCCCTGTCCCCTCAGCCCTACCATTGCCTGCACAGCACATGCCCCAGTCAGCTCCCACTCCCCACCCGTCCCCCTGGTCCCAGTGCTGCTTATGGCCCCAGCATCTCCCCCTGGTCCAAGTGCTGCTCAGCTCCTGGCTGTCCCAGGCACAAGTGGGGAGTGGGGGCTGACTGGGGCACGCACTGCTTGGGCAGCAGCAGGGCTGAGGGGGACAGGGAAACTCTCTGTGGCCTGCTCCCCTGTCCCCTTAGCAAGCAAAGCGAGGGGACAGTTCATCATACTGTTGATGCTTGGTCACAAAGCCAGCACCACCAAATTGGGCTGTAATCTCAAGCTCCACACAGCTGGGGGCTGTGCCCCACTCTGGGACAGCTCCTCTCCCCAACTCCCCACAGCCCAAGCCTGACTCCTATGTCCCCTGCCAGTCCAGGGCTGGCACTGGGGGACCCTGGACCTCCCCCTGTCTGCTGAAGGAGGGCAGAGCAGGCCAGGGAGGCGGAAGCAGCCCTGGACTCAACTGCTCCCATTGGGAGCAAATTTGCTCCTGACGCAGGTGCACGTGTAGATGCATTCCTGGGTACAGATTACTGTTCCTTATTTTAATGCGCAGTAACCTTAAAGCACATCAATTGCATGTGTAGATGCACCCAATATGTACTAGTTAAAGCTGACAGGCATTTTCCTAAGGCAGCATTGGTCATAGCTAGAAAAAAAATGAATGTTGTAATGAAAGAAATTTAGGTTTCCAATTGAGTCATTACTTGTGTCTTTTTGAAATCTCACCTTCAGCTTCATCTTGCTCACACATTTCACGATGTACTGGGTCATTCTCTTGTGTGGCTTTGGAATCTTTTGAAGTCTCTGATGACACAACAAACAAAAATGCCAAATTGGGTTTTTTGTTGGAGGAGTCTAATTGCTTCTTCAGAAAACACCTGAAAATCTAGTACTTAAAATTCCGGATTCATATTTGGCATTCAGTTACTCTGACAGAATTTTTTCCTGTTTAAACACAACATTAAATTTAATAATAATAAAAAATACCAGAGCTCTAAATTACCCATATTGATTCCACAACTCTATCATTATTTAGAATCATCTGGCCTGCACTGCTGACTTACCTTAAAAGAAAACCTAGCTTAAAAAAAAAAGAAAAAAAAGGGGAAATCAGAGTATAATAAACTGTGTTTCTAAAGAGCTAAATGAAATGAAAATATGGGAATAACATAAAAATAATTCATCTACTCATTAGATAATACTACAGAACAACACTAGCCCTTTTCATAAGTGGATCTTAACATGTTTAATGAATATTAAAACCCACAAAACCTTGGGAAAGAATCTTAGTTTCATTGTAGTCAATGGAAAAACCTCTACTGGCATCCATGAGGCCAGGATTTCATTCTTTCTTAGCAAGACAAAACTTGCCACACACATGGGAAACCTGAGGCAGATTACTTACATGAACAGACCATTGTCCCACATTGAATCAATGGCATGTCAAGCTCTATACCAGGAGTTCTAATTCCTATTCCTTTCCACACAGAGTATAAAATTACTAAGGTCTGATGGAAATTTTTTGGTAATGGAGCCCAAGCCCTGTGTTTCTGATTCATGATGGTGAAAATAAACTATAGAAATACATGGCAAGGGGCCATGAAATCTATGTGATCTATATTTTTATTTTCCATCCATCTAGATGTACGACTTTGTATTTTGCCCTTGTCAGTAAAGGCCCCTGAGATAAAAATTCTCCCAGCTATTGGAGATAAATACTCCTCGACATACTAATTAATAAATGAGCTGTATAAACATATTTAGAGTAGAATATACCCCAAAGTTGTGCTAGGAAGTAAAACTAAGCAAAACTGACAAAGGCCTATAATAATAAATGATATTATGGGAGAAATACATATACATGTTGGGCTCCACTTCCATAAAGTCATTTCTTATAAAATAGCACAGAAAGTCTTTGCCAAAGAATGTCATGATATGATTCTTTTCCTTAAAGCTGCCAAGAACAATCTTTGACGGATAAGTGAGAAACCTGGGTAGTTAACATCTGATCCAAATTTAATAATCTGTAGAGCAGGTATGCACCAAAAGTGTGTGGCTTTAATTAACTGCAAATAATTCCCCAAGGCAAATATTTAATTACCCGCACAGCTTCTCATTTCTTCCATGGAATGACAATAAGTTGATAAATCCAAGTTTGGAAGAAGAACTGAACATAAACAGATTTTTAAAATTACCTCGTTGATATAAAATCTGCCCAAACTTGCCCCTGTTGAACTTTTTTCATATTGCGTTATACTTAAAATGCTACATACTGATATTTGGACCAAGGCTTATGCTTGCCTTTTATATTAGAAAGGCAAATTCTGCTCTGACTTAAAAGGGATTACTTCTATCAGTCTGAATCAGAGGTACAATAAATTAGAATTTCATCAAATTGTAAATTTAATCAAAATGTGAAAATACACAGCTGAAGCAGCCTTCACTGTAACAGGGGAATAGGTAATACAAATCTACAGGGAAATTGTCAAAAGTTCTAAACAAAGTTTAACCACACTGAGTGAAATTTTGGCCCTACTGAAATCAATAACAAGACTCTCACAGATGTCAAGAGGGCCAGGACTTCCCTAACCTGAAGACATATCTTCTGAATTACTGCATTCTTTGTGTATGCACTTATAAAAGGTATTGTACTGATGACACTGGCGTTTGTTTATCTGCAGAACGCATATGCACCAGGCACAAATGAAGGCAGTGCCAGTTTCCTTAATACTGCATCAAACCAAGGGCAAGGAACTACATCTCAGTTGAGAGCTAAGGGAAAACGATATAGTTACTTGCATACTTCATGCATCTTTCCCCAAAAATCAGCACACTAACAGCAGGGAAGCTGATATTCTGTGCCAGAATGGCAATCCTGTAATAGCTGCTAATGCTTCTCTTCCTGCTGCTCCCAGGAAGGGAAGGAGCAGAGTTTACTCTTCAGAGTCATCTTAATCCTTTTATAGCCACTACCAAATTTGCAGTAGCCTTTGGCTGAACAGCTGACAATTTGACAGCAGTTATGAGAGGGTTAAAACTCTAACTCTTGCTGATGCTGAAGAGTGTACTTTGCCAGTGCAGTTAGGATTCAGTTATGTCTCTGGAAAAATCTTTTTTTTTATTGTATCTTCCCCAAACCAGGTGTGTGCCTTATTTGGGGGGGTATGGTATGTGAGAAAATACATAGCTTGTCTATTCCATTCAGTTCCAATGCTCGAGAACAGCAAGAGTGATAAATAGTACTACTTGCAGTGAGATGATCACCTGGATTTAGACTCCCAAACGCATTACATCATAGCCTGCACAACAGTCAAAAATGGTAACAACTTTCAAAAACTAATAATCCAGGCTGGAGAGAGGTAACTGACTACATCCCATTAGCTGCCAGCCAGTTGTAAACCTAATGCATTATTTATACTGATAGATCTTTGAATTAACTCTCCCTTTGATGGTGCCATCTTTTCTCCAAGAATGAAGAATATTTCAATTTCATTTAAAATCCATCCAGGGTATCCAAGGCAACAATTACAAATGTTGGTCAAAATAAGAATTGCTGTTTTGGAGCCCAATTCACACCTGATATAGATAGGTGTGGCTCTGCCCTTTCCAATAGAGGGCAAAATAGCTTACATCAGACCTATATTTGATCTGTTGTCTAAGAGGTTCAGGATACCATTGCTCAATAGCAGCTACGGCAGTAAACTAATTTCACCAGGCTCTCAGTTAATTCTCAGATGTAGGTACCACACTGAGAGATCCTTGTATGCTAATTGGCACAGCTTCAGGTTTGGATATAACATAATTGGCTGTGAATGACCTACTGATATGGGGCCTTTATAACAAGGTACCTTTTTCACCATGGATACAACTTTGTTATTCTTTTATGAGTTCTGGAAAGCAATACCATAATACAGGATGCTAAACTGTTCACAACAATCTGCAGAAAGCATTTTGTATTATTTAGTTGTATAAAGACTGTAATACAGGCAAAATTATTGCCTCATTGTGAGAGTCAGTCAATGTTACTTTAGGAGCAGAGATCAGCCATTACATTAGTTTCAAAATCTTTAAGGTCAAGACCACGTCAAAGACTTTTAGAAAATGCAAATATTAAAGCAAATATTCAAGCCAAAGGGTCAGAAGACAGATTTATTTTTAGGATAACATGAAAAAAAGTAACATATAAACCTCAATTTATGAAGAAAATCCAGTTCACTGAATATGTATGGCAAGAGTGAAAGTACAAGATTACATATGAAGGACAATTCTCCCTTAAAAGCCATTTCGTAGCTGGGTATGAGACCAAATCTTCAGCTCCTTTTCAGTGGAGTGAGCACCAGAAAACCATAGTAAGGGAATCCCAAAACTGCACCTCAGTGAGTCTGCGTTCCCCTCTCCTTTTAGGTGGCATCTTTGCATTCTAGTTACCTCTGAACTCTTTTTGGGTCTATGTACAGATGGATACAAATTAGAGATACCCAGTAGGGGGTGCTCTAAAGCAGTAGTTCTCAACTATTTTATACTACTCCACACCTCCATAAATGTTGTGAATTGAGTAGCACCCCATTTCAAAAATATTAAATAATGCCTACATGTTTGAAGGGGTGTCAAGAAAGAGGAGAGGAGTAGCAGCTACCAAGGCAGAGCTTGCCTAGCAGTGAGGGGGGTGGGGGGCAGGCAGGAAGAGTGGCTGGAAGGAAAGAGGCTACACTCACCTTCTCAGTACAGCCTGCCCTTATCTCATTTATCTCCTCTCTCCAGGCAGCAAGCATTCTTCAAAGGCTGTCAGGGTGCCCTGACACCCTGGTTGAGAATCACGTCTCTAAAGCTACCTTTGTTCACTCAGCCTTTTAGTGGCACTAAGCCTATACATCTTAGGTTTTAAAATGTTGCACGCTTAATTCGAATTATACACAATGATGACTACATTCATTCACAGCTACAACATGGCAGCACTTGAGATATATGTTGGACCAATGCTCAGCCAGGATGGTTTAGAAGTTTCCAGCATCAGAAATGCTGTGCCCACCCCCTCCGCTCCCTGCTTCTTCCATCAGACCTATGCCCTGCACCGCCACCCTCGCCCCCCCCAGAACCCATATGCCCCCACCCTCTGCTTTGGAAGTGCTTCCCCCTCTCCACCCACCCCACCAACTCTCCCACTGGGTTTCCCCAAAGCACCATCTCAGCTCGTCACACCACTGGTTAATGAAGTTATATCACAAAAAAGATTTCTGGAGGGATTACGTTGCCCCTGATCACAGCTTTCAAATTTTAGTTTGAAATGGATTCCTGCTCCACAACCTTTCCCTCTACCAGTGTTGTTCCCTCTAGACCTCTTTCTGGCTGATACTACCTACCCCGACCTTCTTTCCTTCTCTTACTAGGGTTGCCAGGCAAATAACTTCCTGATGTAACACTATGTTACATCATTATACATGCAGCAGTGATGTAATGCTACCATGCCGAAGATGAATGCCATCGTGCAAACATAATGAGACCATGGTACTTCAAACATCTGAAAAATGATTAGCTAATTAAGTGGTCAAAAGAATAATTTTGTTTTCCAATTTGTGGTTAAATAGCTACAATACAGAATGTAAAATATATGGACTTGTCCTGCAAACAGAATTTTCCTGCCTGCTCTCACTACAGCCTTCAGAATAGCTTTTTTGTCCCTGCTTTTGGGCTCAATCTTTAAGCATCTGCTTAACTTAGAGCGAATGAGCACTCCCACTGTGCTTAAGTGCTATGCTAAATCACAGCTGAAGGCTCAGGACCTTGAAAGATCAAGTCCTTTATCC